AGTCATGCCATTAGTAATACCTCTGGGGCATTATGCTTGACAATTATGACAGCTTTAATTAAAGAAGATATACCCATAGGTAAATGCTGGGTATACTAAGAAATATACTATATTATCCAAAATGTAGATGAAGAAGTTGATTTCTCCTCTGGGACTTGTATTTAGAATAAGTTGGTTAAAACCAGCTACCAAGTAATTCATGAATGTGAATATGAATTAGCACAATCTAACAAATAATGCAATTTAGAGCTACCTATTGTCTAAGTCAGCGATTTTCAGCCTTTTTCATCTCATGGCACACATAAATTAATGACCAAAATTCTGTGGTACACCAAAAAATATACCTTTTGCCAATCTGACAAAAAAAAAATAGGGATAATTTTTATTTATATACACTCCACAGCTATTGTGCTGGCTGGTGTCATTTTTTTATTTGATATTCTAAGGGAAAATAGGTCAGTGCCCCTGACTAAATAGTCAGATATTGCATGTTTTAAAAATTCTTGTGGCTCACTGGTTGAAAATGGCTGGTCTAAGTACACAGTCGTCTTTGCCCCAACTTTGAATTAAGTCCTAAGGTATGAAAGTTGGAATGAAAAGTAAGAGGATCCAGCTTTTCATTCTTTGAATATTTGAATATTTCTCAGGCATATAGCTAAAGAAAACTGTTCCATTCAAAGAATGGAACTTGGCCCTAGCCAGTTTGGCTCAGTGGATAAAGCGTCGGCCTGTGGACCGAAGGGTCCCAGGTTTGATTCTGGTCAAGGGCATGTACCTCAGTTGCAGGCTTCTCCCTGAACAGAGCCCGGGTCGGGGTGCATGCAGGAGGCAACCAATTGATGTGTTTTTCTCACATTGGTATTGCTCTCTGTCTTCCTCTTCCTCTTCCACTCTCTCTAAAAATCAATGGAAAAATATCCTCGGGTGAGGATTGAAAAAAAAAAAAGAATGAATGATCAACATACACTGATGAACAAGGACTGATCCAGAGACAGAGAGGAATTGATTGGACTGCCGGGCCTTGGAGGGAAGGTAGGGGAGGGTGGGGGTAAGGGAGAGAGATCAACCAAAGGACTTATATGCAAGCATATAGGACTAACCAATGGACACGGACAACGGGGGGGTGAGGGCATGAGCGGGGGGTGGGGATAATGTGGGGATAAGGACACATATGTAATATCTTAATCAATAAAAAATATATTTAAAAAAAAGAATGGAACTTGATCTTTTTCCTATATCATGAGTCACATGGGCACTAATATTAGTAATACCACCCACAGTGTTTAATAAAGAGAAATATCATTATTTGATGACTGTTAGTATGTTTCAGCATTTCAGAGTAAAACAAATATCTTGGATTTTCATAATATAAATCTATAAAGCTAGCATTCTTTTCACCTATTTTATTTTTAACCTACTCTCTCATTTCTTATCTAGATCCTTAAAGCCTTTAACCCTACAACTAGCACAAAATAAATATGTCTGACAGAATTTATCAGTTATCAAATTCAAAAAGTTCTGTCAAAATGAGATAGAGGCACTTGTCTCCTGAGAAATGTTTTGGGAGAAAGTAAAAAAGGATTAAATTGACATTCCAATCACTCTGTACATAAACACAAAAAATGAATAAATAGCTCTGATTACAAGGAACTTATCATTTATGGAGTAGACCCATAAATAGATAAGTTTTATACCCACAAATAGGTATATTGAAGGTAGATACAGTGAAGGAGACACACAGGTGTTATAGGTGCACTGGGAAGTGACCCCTAACTCAGACCATTGTGGAAATGGAAGGACTTCCTGGATAGCCACTTGAGCTGAAATCAAGATATGTAGGTGTTAACCAGGCAAAAGGGTGGGGGCTGAGCGAAGCAGAATAGGGAAGGACATGAAGGTGTGACATGAAGAAGGGCAAAACAGAAAAAGTACAGTGGGGAACTCTGAAGCAGTGTCATGGGTTGTGGTGCACATGAGGGGTGAGGAAGAACTGGTGACAGAGGGTGAATAAGATTTGGAGAAGTCTGTGTAAGGAGGGAAGAAATATTGGATGACGACAACGTTAGCCAAAGCATGAACACAGGCCAAGTGAAATAAGCCAAAGGAGGGGGAAAGGTTGACGATATAGGAAAGAGATGTCTTCAAAGGTAACGGCCCAGGGGAGAAGTGAGAAGGTGAGATCTTAAAAGACAGAAGAGGTGACACAAATAAAAAGCACTGACCTGATGCCAAAGACAACTTTGGTTTGCCTCTGTATTGTTATCTTTCTGTTGTTGTTGTTCATTCTTTACAGAACAAAATACTAGGCTGGCGTGAAAAAAATGTTAACAGTTCTAAAGAGCACTGACTTCTTACACTAACGTACATACCTTTATTGGAAGGTCTGGATATGTACCTTCTCTAGGGAATGTACTCACTACATTCAATACAAATACCTGCCCTGCATCACTGGATCTCTGTGAACACGCAGAACACCTGTGTAGTCATCTCCTGAATTAAGTCTTGACACCCTGTCAGTACGTCTTGTGACAAAGAGGAATGAATGTCAGGTTTTCCTTCCTCAAGGGTACCGTTAGGAGGAACAGTCTGTTCTTGTTTAATTAGCATTGATTTTCTTCAAACTGACTATTACTCTCGGATCATAATATTTTTTAATTGCTGGAGATGAAACAAACACTTCATTTGGTGAGTTTTGTAAAAGGATCACTCTTTGTAACACTTTCTGTTAATTGGAGAGTTTACTACTTGTTTATATCTCATTCATTTTATATTTAGATCTGAATATTTTTCTCATGAACAGAAAACATTGATGAGGGATATCCCATTCATAATAGGGATGAAAGGGTAGCATTGTTGTTAAAATCTGAAGTCTCTCAAACTGCTGGATCCATATATCACATTACAACCTGGGCATGTGCCCTGACTGGGAATCAAATGCATGACCTTTTGGTGCACGGTATGACATTCAACCAACTGAGCCACACTGACCAGGGTGTATAATATTACTCTTGAGATGATGTGATAAAAATGGTACTTTACTTCTGTAGTGTTCTTCTCAAAAACATAGGACCCCAGTGCAATCATGAGAAAAACATGGGACTAATCCCAAATGAGGGACATTCTTCAAAATACCTGAAGTGTAAGCTTCAAATGTGTCAAGCATATAAAAAAAAAAAAAGGAAAGCCCAAGAAACTGTCACAGTCAAGAGGAACCTAAGGAGCCCTGATAACAAATGTGATGTGGTATCCTGGATGGAATCCCAGAAAAGAAACAAGGCATTCAGTAAGAACGAATGAAATATGAATCAAATATGGATTTTAGTTAATAATTGTGTATCCATTTGGGTTCATCAATTGTAGCAAATGTGCCATAGAAGGTGTTAATAATAGCAAAAATATGGGAAAGCTTTGCATTATCATCTCAATGTGTCTATAAATCTAAAACTGTTCTAAAGTTTAAAATTTTTATTTAAAAGATACATTTAAATAAAACACCTGCAATTTTGAAACAGATGTTAAGCAATTTCTCTGAAATAACCTTTCTCTATCTGTCTCTTTATTCCTTCTTCTTTTCTCTCTCTTCCTCCAAATTTACTTGCTGGGACTACTGCCCCTTAGAAGCCATAAGGCTAGAATGAGAGTTTCCTGAGATCCATTGAGAAGGATTCATGAAGGAAGGGCACGCCAAGCTCACACACAAGAAGAAGCATGGTATCCATTAGGGAGAATCAATTCCTGGCAAAGCTGTAAACAGCTATCATACGGGGTGCTGGGTACTGTGTTGGGTATCACTTATATCACCTTTTCGTATCTGTTCTCATAGTAGCTGTATTGATATAGATACTCATCTCTATTTGCAGACGAGGCTTAGTTGATACATAATCCCACAGCTCACAGGAACCAGAGTTAAGTTCCACCCCCTAGTTGGAACCACTGCACATACTCCCAAGGCCATGGTCAGATGATCAACTTGTCTTTCGGGATCTCCTGCTTCCATTTTTGTGTACCTTCTTCTCTCTAGGAGGCCAATAACCTTTAGTGCCCACTAAGCCATTTAGTCCCTCTTCCTTTCTCCAGAAATGAAAATGAGAGCAACGGAGTGTGAAGGGGTGTGAGGAAAATGAGGAGGGAGAAGCAGAGCTAAGGTTAGTTGAGCAGCTGCTATCCACCAAGACACTTAGTAGGTACTTTACCCACTTTAATAACATAAGCCTGCATGAGATCCTCATAAGCGCATAATTCCCATTTTTAGGCTCATGGTCACTCTGTGCTTTCACTTCAGCTGTTATACTCGTGAAGGGGAAAGCTCTTCCTTTTCTGTTATCACTCTCCACAATATCCCTTTATATGCTGTTCACCCCATTCACACATGCCTCCCCTGTGTCCTCCCTGTCCTTGCTGGCCCCTACTTCATCTTGTTCAAATCTCCTTGATTGTTCTGCTCCACTGGCCAGATTTCAAGTTTCCAGTGTGAGTTTTGCCTGGTTCTATATTTTTCTCCTCTACTCTGAGATTTAACAAGTTCTGTCACCTCTGTCTTCTGGTCTTCATACAGCTAACTCCTCCTCAACCTTGGATTTTCACTTACATGTCAATTGACAGAGGCCTGTCACAACATCCCAGACTAAATAAGGCCACCCTATTACTCTATTAATAGCTGTCTGTTTTCTTTAGCTGGGGCTGACAAATGGCATTGTAACTGTGTATGCAGCAACGATTTTTGTTTTTGTTTTTTTTTGCTACTGCAGACACGTTTAATGTGGACATTCAAGGCCTGGGCAGAGCGGAGCGTGCCCAGGAGGGGACAGGCAGGCAAGGTGGGGGGGTTGCAGGCCCACACCTGACGCCAGGAGGGAAGGCTGGGTGGTGGGAGGTGGCCCATACACGCCGAGGGGAGAATCTGAAGAGCGGCTCAGGCAGGCAGAGCCGCCAGGGGAGCTGTAGGCCAGCCCTTGAGAAGGCATCTAATCAGTTGGTGAGTGCCCAGGCTAGAGCCTGGCCCTGGAGGCAGGGTGAGGGCTGCCTGGAGGCTCCTGGAGCCTAAGTGCTGGCATCGTAGTCGTAGTCGTAGTCGTCTTCGTCGTCGGGGTCCTCCCCCAGCTGCTGCTGGAGCTCCAGGCGCGTCTGCCGGTTGGACTCCAGCAGCTCCTGGAGGCGGGCCTGGAGGTGGTCGTTCTGCTCTTCCAGGTGGTCCAGGCAGGAGTTGATCTGGTCCAACATGGAGTTGATGGCAGCGTATTCTGCTTCCCCAAAGCTGTCATCCTCGTCTTCCCTGCTCGGTACCACCGGCATTCCCATATTGGGGCCCGACATCGCGGGCTCGGGCGCCGCAGAGGCCACGAGACGCTCAGCAACGGTCTTATGCATTTACTTTCTGTCCCCGGTCTGGACTGTCAGCTCCATGAAGAAACAGACTATACCTATTTTTTTTACATGTGCATAGCACAGTGCCTGGCATATAATATGGCTCAATAAATATTTATTAAATGTAGTTTTAAAATTAATAGATATAATAATAAGAATTTTTTTCCTTTCTGAAACATTCTTTTCAAGGAATGTGTCACTGTGTGCCTTATATTAAAGTTATTTATGTGCATGCATTATTTTCTTAGCTAGACTTAGAGCTCTAAAGTGGAAAAGTTCTGTGATTTTTCCTATGTAGCCTCTATTTCTCTCTCTCTCTCTCTCTCTCTCTCTCTCTCTCTCTCTCTCTCTCTCACTCACACACACACACACACACACACACACACACACACACACACACACCCCAAGAAAATCCTATGTGGTAGATGCTACATAGCAAGATGGCAAACTTAAAACCAACCATATAAGTACTTTGACAGAGCATTACTGACAAGCTATGCCTAAAACCTACTAAATGGCTCTAGATGGCGTATTAGAATCATTACTGATAAACTAATGGGGCATCACAGAGTTCAGAGACCATCTTTCATTTTTTTCAAATCCCTTCCATAAATAGGCTCCTCCTGGCCTCAAAGTCAACGTGCTCTGTTTGCAAAAAAAAAAAAAAACTGTCAATGATGCTTAAAGGGTTTTCACAGTCTCCCTCCTCCCTCTCCTCTTCTTCACTTCAGAATGCAATGATGCCCATAACCCCCCACCAACACCCCCCCACCCCCCCACCCCACACCCCACCGGCCCCGTTTGTCCCCAGAGGGTAAGTGTCTTGATCAACATCTCTCAGCTGCCCAGGCAGCTTCCTGGCTCAGTCATGACCCCCTGTCCCCTGTTCCATCTTGATGATGAAATCCTTGCCTGATGTCCCTGCAGCAAGGCTCAGAAGCATTTCCTCTGTCACATAAACAATCATCTGATCATTTTAAGTTCATTTCCAAGGGGGAGAAGAATGCAAGATTTAATTTAAAATGTAAGAGCATGTTTATCTCGAATGCCTCCGTAATCAGAGAATGAGCTCACTCACTCTGAATAGCACTCGAGGAGATGGGCTGGATGGTAAGTAGCATCATGCTGTCACCAAAAGATGAATGTGTCCAATTATCAGTGATGCCTTGCCCTCGGTAGAGTTAAACTGAAGGGTAACAGAGGAGAGCTCCTCGGTGCCAGGACTGGTGGATTTGTGACCTAAACTCAAAAGCGAATCCTGGTCAGCACAGTGTGAATGTCCTGCTCTTTTCCTAGTGCTCCGGGAGCTTGGAGCTTACGATAAACAATTCACAAGCATTCATTAAGCAACTCAATGGGGGGTTTCTGGCTGTGCTCGGGCTTGGCGCTTCCCCTCTCTGACTCATCCTCCATGCCGGCTGGTGAGTCTGCACACTTGCTTTGCCAGCACACTGGGGTATATGTGCTGCAAGTGGAAGGATGCTGTGAAGAGGGAGAATTAATATGGAAACATGGGAACTGAGTGGGAATAAAAGGGGACCACTGACACTCTTGAGTGTGTTACTGTGTTCACCCAGAAGCCAGCAATGGTTTTGAGAATTAAAGTAGAGAGAACGGCTCTTTAGTACTTGAAATATATTCATTTTACCAAAAATCACCCCACATGCTGCTATTGGCATCTGCACTTGAGGCAATAAACCTCTCCCCATGCCCACATCGTGAGCCCAGAGGCACCAAAGAGGCTACAAATCAAAGTGAAAATGCAAAGCAGGATATCATTCATCCCCCTTTTGATATAAAATAAACCTGCCCTTTCATGGTGTTAGACTGCATGCTTACAACTATGAATACAAATATATAACACAAAATAATGCCTTCCAAAATGTGGATATCTGTATAGAATGCTATAATGAACACTGCCATTTTTAATATCTACTATGCAAACATTTTTCTCTTTGAGGGATATCTCAAAGTACAAGTGGGGTTCCATCTCTTACAACATAAAAAAAAAAGATTGTCTTCCCAAGACTTCTGGCAGCTGGGCATGGCTGTCACACATGGTATCAGCCAATTGACATCCCAATTAAGAATTTGAGCCTTTGAACCTTGAGAGACTAATACCCAAGAATTAAAAAGAAAATTAAGACCTCAATAAAATACTAGCAAACAGAATCCACAAAATATAAAAAGAATTGTAAACCATGACCACGTACACTAGCATCTGAAAATCAATGTAATATACCATAGCAATAGAATAAAGACCCAAAACCACAAAATCCAATAGAATAGAAGGAAACTTTCTCAAGCTGATCAATGGCATATATGGAAAAACTAAACTAATATCGTACTTCATGGTGCAAGACTTAACTCTTTTCTCCTAAGCTCAGGAAAAAGATGAATATGTCCACTCTTGTCACTTCTGTTTAACATTGTATTAGAGGTTCCAGTCAGGGCAATTAGGCAAGAAAATGGAATAGAAATAAACCAGATTGGAAAAGAACAAGTAAAACTTTCTCCATTTTCAGATAACAAGATCTTGCATATAGAAAAATCTAATAAATGCATTCAGCAGAATTGCAAGGTACAAAAGATTAATATACAAAACCAACTGCATTTCTATACACTAGCAATGAACAATGAAATTAAGAAAACAAAGCATTTACAATAGCGTCATAAAAATAAAATAAGAATAAATTTAACAAGTGTAAAATGTAGCCATTAAAAACTATAAAACACCACTGAAAGAAATTAAAGAATTGGTATTTTCTCAGAGCAGCTGTAGTGAAGTTGAGAGCTGGGCAATAACAGATGACTAAGGATGAAGATGCTGGTGATAACAGGGACTGATGTTTCCAATAAGGAAGGAGCAAGAGACATCACCAGCAAACTCTTTGTAGGAGGGAATTTTGGCCGTGGCTGAGCTCTAAATGTTGGTCCACTCACTGAGTCTGTTTCCTCAGCCCTCCCTCAAGCCCAGGTCTATGTATTGTCCTCTCAATCATTTCCATTTAGTCAGAGTTGGTTTCTATTTTTTGTAGCCAAGAACCCTGACCGAGGCAGGTATTACTCTTTAGTTTCCCTTCCAATTCTATTGATTTGGGTTTAGAAAGGAAAATTCCTTTTCACTCCTATTACACATTTTTTAGAACTTTCTAAGTGCCATTGCTTTCCCAGTGTTTAATTCATTTCCTCAGTATCCTATGACTTAATAATAATAACCTTATGAAGTATATAGTATTAACCTTATTTTTACACGTGGGAAAATGAAAATTGAAGGAGGTGGCACGATTGCCTAGGAAAGGATGGATTACAGATGGAAATCCAGATAAGCTTGATGCAGACTCAAGGCAGCTTCTACTACACTAAGCTGCTTCCTTGATTTTCTGTCCTCAAAACACGGAATGCAGGTGAGCTTGCCTACGGAGGAGGGGCTTGAGATCAAGTAAGCACCACTCTAAACAGTATAAAACCTCAACAATTACTCATGAATTGCTCATATCCAGTCAGTGAAATAGAAACAGTTATTAATAGTCTGTTTTCCAAAAATATTTAATGACATAACTAAGTGCACAATATTAGTTGGAAATGTTAGGATAAACATGGTCAGAAGCAAACCCAATCATGTTATGTGCATACCTGTATATGTATTTGTGTCTGTGTATGAGACAGACACACACAAATTTATATAAATTGCTAACTATTAATAACAAAAAGGGAGCATCCTAGTACGTTGAGATTTTGCTTCCCAGCAATTGTCGACAGTTTGGCCCTAATACACACACACACACACACACACACAGATAAGGAAGGAAAATAGTATAAATTTCAAGGAGAAATAGGGGCAGTAGGAGGCAGTCAGTGACAGAGGAAATATACCCCCCTATTCTTGGCCATGAAGGAAAAGACAGAGGCCACGGAAATCCTACCAAACTATACTCACCAAAATCCTATTTCAGTCCCTAGTCCTTAAAATAAAACCACCTTTCCTTTCTGTGTCAGAGATTCCTATCGCTTTTTTTTTTTAATTTATTGAGTTGACATTGGTTCACAGAAGCATGCAGGCTTCAAGTATACAACTCAGCAAAACCTTCTCTGCACACTGCATCGTATGCCATCACCCAAAGCAAAGTCTTTTCCATCCCCATTTATGCCCCTTTTGCCCACTTGCACCTGCTCCCACCCTAGTTCCCAAATATCCAAGGAGTACTGCCATATCTTCTGAAATGCTGCTCTCTACTGGCCATTTCTGGTATTACAACTCTTCCAACTGGAGCACACTTAGCACTAAGGCAGCTATCAACCTGTTCTCTTCACTGTTCACTGTTCCAAGATGAATTGAAATGACCACAGGTGCCTAAGAGGCTAACACGCTTGGGACCCACTGCCAACCATCCTTAATCCCATTTATGTCAGTCTGACCATTATCCAAATCCAAGTTCACAATGGGTGGGTACTCTTTTTTTATTTATTGTCATAATTCCTTTATTTTTATTTTATTTTTTTAATTGTTTTATTGCTTAAACTATTACAAAGAGTATTACATATATGTCTCCTTTTTTCCCGCCCTTGACTATCCCCTGGCCTCCCCTACCCACCAGGGTCTTATGTTCATTGGTTATGCTTATATGCATGCATACAAGTCCTTCGGTTGATCTCTTACCGCCCCCCCAACCCCCCAACCCTCCCCGGCCTTCCCGCTGTAATGGGTGGGCACTCTTTAAAGCTCCTCCCCACCCAACCCTGGGCACTGGCAATTTCTCTTTTGATTAAGGCAGTTTTTGCAGGCTGGGTTTCATCACGAATTTGAATGTTATCATCTGTGTTCCCTGGTTTCATACCCTTCTACTCACACCTGTGTCTTCCTTCTGCCTAATTGAACGGTATGACTCACTTTAATAATTTTGAGTCTCCACACTAGACGATAACACTGCTGAATTTGGCGGCATTATTAATATGGGAGAAGGAAAGCTGGGCCCTTG